AAAAAAAAAAAAAAAAATGGCCGAGGTCGGGAAAATATCTGCCATGAGAATAGCAATGTCGTACGGCCCAGAGCTGAGTTTCTTGGTGCTTCTTCGTATCCTGATCGGCATGTACAGATCGGATATCATTGATCACGAATCGAGGGTGAGGCCGACCCTGACCCCTCAAAGTAGTTACGATTTCGTGATAATCGGGGGTGGCTCGGCCGGCTCGGTGTTGGCCAACCGATTGTCGGAGAACAATAATTGGACGGTGTTGCTGCTGGAGGCGGGCGCCGAGGAGCCAGACTTCTCCGATGTCCCCTCGATATTTCCCGTTCTCCAACTTACCCCCATGGATTGGCAATTCAAGACGGAACCGTCCGACAATTATTGCAAAGCGATGAGAGCTCACGAGTGCAACTGGCCACGTGGCAAGGTAATATTTTTCATCTCGTTATTTATCAATTTTATTTGAGATAGGATTTTCAAATTCTTGAAATTTTACGAAGATAAAATTTTCTATTTACTTACTTTCCCATTACACGATTATTACAAAAGAGCGTTTGTCCATTATTTGCACCATTATATTTTAAATAAAAAACTTTTGAGAAATTACTTATAAAGAGTTTACTTGCGCAGTTTAACATAATTCCGTAAACATTATGCTAGTATGAGCCGGTCGAAGTATGCCAGATTATGTAATTGACACGCGCCAAGTGAAAATAGAAAGTTATTCTAATTAAGAAAGTAGATGCGTATCTAATTTATGAGATAATACTCTTAAACGAATATATGCACATAAAACAATTCTTATATCCCAATTCGATGGAATAATTCATATATCAAAAATAAATTTCGATAAAACTATTAAAAATCAATCATCACCAATTAATAGAAATAAACTCACTATGAATCTTTCTTTTGAATATTTTGAAAACATATAATAAAAAATCAAAACTCTCTTATCTTATCAATCACTTAAAACTTAATCACTCAAGATCACTATTTATTTAATAATCAGTTAAACGAGCAATTACTAAGAATATCTTCCCTTGTTTGTTTTGAAAGTGTAAAGAATCAATTTCTTACCTTTCAAAAGAAACAAAAAAAACTTCAAATTACGTAAGAGAATCGACAACGAAAATTCCAACATCCGTCGATATTGCTCGATCGATAGGTGCTAGGTGGAAGTAGCGTATTGAACGTGATGCTGTACATTCGTGGGAACAAAAAGGATTACGATAATTGGGAGAGGATGGGTAACAGGGGATGGAGCTACGAGAACGTGCTACCTTACTTCAAGAAATCGGAGGACATGAGGATCGAGGAGTATCGGGACTCCCCTTACCACCAGACAGGTGGACACCTGACCGTCGAATACTTCCATTATCGGTTGTCCATCATCGATTATCTGATGAAAGCCGGGACGGAGATGGGGTACGACATCGTTGACGTAAATGGACCGAGGCAAACCGGGTTCACCTATTCCCACGGAACGCTGAGGAATGGATTGAGATGCAGCGCCGCCAAAGCTTTCCTCCGATCCGTTTCCAAAAGGAGAAATCTCCATATCAGTACGAAGTCGATGGTGGAGAGGATTTTGGTGAGACAAGGCAAGTTCTATTTTTTTCATTGTTGTCCTTTATCTTAAATTAAACGAAGAATTGACATAAAGAAGTTTCTTTTCGTTTAAATTTCTCACAAATGAATCAGATTTAAGAAGATGTATAAGATAATGTTCTCAAAATTGTTAGTAAAGTAATATATATATATATATGAAAAATTTAGAAAGATTTTTTATGTACATCTATTATATCTTCATTTAATTTCAGAATTAATAAGAATTCATATAAGAATTTGTATAAGATCAATGACAATTTTTTGAAATTGTTAATAAAATAATATATATATTGCTTCTTAAATCTGATTCATTTGTGAGAAATTTAGACCAAAAGATTTTCTTTATGTATATCTATCTTATCTATCTTCGTTTAATTTAAGAATTAAGAATTAAATATATATATTACATATTATATTATGAATTCTTATTAATTCTTAAATTAAATAAAGATAGATAAGAGATATATATAAAGAATTTTTTGGAAAGAACCTTTTTAAATTTCTCACAAATGAATCAGACTTAAGAAGCAATATATATATATTATTTTATAAAGAATCTTTTGGAAAGAATCTTTCTAAATTTCTTACAAATGATCAGACTTAAAAAGTAAAATATATTACTTTATAATATATATACTTTATAACAATTTTGAGAACATTGATCTTATATGGATTCTTATTATCTTATTATATATTAGTATTATATTATAATATACATACTATATATTATATAATTCTTAAATTAAACAACATTAAACAAAGATAGATAAGATATACATAAAGAATCTTTTGGAAAGAATCTTTCTAAATTTCTCACAAATGAATCAGACTTAAGAAGCAATATATATATATTATTTTATAAAAAATCTTTTGGAAAAAATCTTTCTAAATTTTTTACAAATGATCAGATTTAAAAAGTAAAATATATTACTTTATTAATTTTGAGAACATTGATCTGATATGAATTCTTATTATCTTATTATATATTAGTATTATATTATAATATATATATTATATATTATATAATTCTTAA